TCCTATATTCAGGTGATTACACAACATATCTATGAATATTATATTCCATTTTTTAAAATAGATCATCCTAAATGTTACACACTGGACCTTTAATGCACAGCTTTGGTGCATATTAGTCAGGCTAGCTGTTTCCATCTGTCTTCATGCTAAGTAAAGCTAATTACCTGCTAGCTCTAGTTAACACACAGATGTGAGAGTGGAACTGATGCCCTTATCTAACTCTCACAGGAAAAGTGAATAAGCAGATTTTCTAAAATGTCTACTATTCCCTCAACATTTGTGAGTTTCCCCCCTGCAGCTGCTTGAACATTCGTAATTTTTTGGTGCTTTTGTTTTTAAGGCTCTTTGCGTCATGGCTTTCTATCCATATAAGATAAGCAAAAGAAGAAACTCAGTTGCTCAGTTGGATTTCAGAGTGACGTTATTGTTCACTGCTCCTCCAGCAGTGCTGATTTTGGCCCGAATCGCTCCCTCTGACTTTGATGCATCGAATTAATTTCATTTTGAATGTTCTGTCCTTTGACTGCAAAACAATGTCTTCGTACCACGCAACTCGTACAACTCCACCACTTTGACAGATGCGAGATTAATCTTGTCCGTGCAGATTACGGACATTTGTGATGTGGATGTTCCTTAACTAAATGTAGATTAGATGGGACTAGTAAAAGTAGTGCGGCCATGTTGACGATTTTAGGATTTTGTTAAGCTGCTTTATTTGAGACTAAATTAAAAGTTCATCTGAGTTGCCCTCTTTTCTACTGAGTGTGTTTCTTATCTATCTATCTATCTACTGTATCTATTACACATCAGACTCTGCACAGACAATGGGGATGGTAAAGGCATTATGCAGTCCCCTCAAGTCTTTAGCCCCCTCCTCTCCCTCCTCCATTGCTCTTTGCCACACTATTAACCACCGGCTGACCTTTTCCTCTGCGCCTCAACCTCTGGTCCACGCTGGATGTACAGCTGTTTGACATGTTTTATAGACTCTTTTGTCTCCCGTGGTGGCACGGTGCGGCAAAAAAGAACCAAAAAAATAATCAAAAAGCCTGCATTCTACAGCCATCATAACGCATCACCTGAGAGCTTCTCCCACCCACTCAAGAGGAAGGAGGTGGGGGATTGGGGTGGGTGCTGGTGCCTCTAAGGTAATTATAAAAGTTTATCCACATAGAAAATTGCAGGAGCTCATTAAATCATCATCATTTTGCACTGTAGGAAAGATTAAGTTACCTCAGCTTAAAATATTAAGTGTCCCTGCTGTATTAAAATATTAAACATACTGTGTTACAATGAACAGGAGGAAATAAGCCTGATGGATTTACTGTAAGACAAGTTCATGTCATATGGAGGGGATACATTCAGTCAGGATTTTCTCATGTGCTCTGTTTATTTTCTCAGTAGTAAATGAGTTTCATGTTCTGCGCTAAAGCATGAAGGCAGCAGACGTTAATGTCACTGCTTGTAATAAGAGAGATATGACATTTGTGGCTGCTTGGTGAAATTAGATTAATTCATTAGAATGAAAAGGAGTATGGGGCTAGGGGGTGATATGGTTAATAATCATCATGTTTACCTTTTTTTGTTTTCATTTTTTACCAGAAACGATTTGCTCAAACTAGAAGAAAGACTTATTTCTTATAAGTTGAATTAAAATGTCCAATGAGCCTAACAAACCTAATTCGATCAATTCATTCAACTGGCACGTTATAATCACAAGACTTAAACTCATGATAAAAACTACTGCTTTTGAGATAAATTAAAAACTGACAAGCTTATGTAACATCAGGCTCCCGATAAAAGATCTGTTGATTCCACTGAATTGCCGATAGAGTCTGCAGAGAATGGGATTTGATTTGGGATGCATAGGAATCCAGGTGCAGTGAACTAATGCACACTGGTTATTTTCCACCACTGATCTGTTTAATATTCATATAGAGTAACACACACATCAGTGGGTGTTCAGTGGAGAGCAGGCGTATGCAGCGGCCCCTATACCAGTGAGCAACCCCATAATGAAGCAGCTATAGAGGTTAGATGCCTTGCTCAAGGGCATGTAGCGGTTACGTGTTTACTTTCTTTATAAAACAATGCAGGTGTTTCCTGTTACAAGCATGTTTCTCCACCACTGAATAGTCTACAAATATGAGCTTTGTGTGTTCTTGGCTGTTTTCCAGGCAGACACACAATAAAGTGTTGATGTACAGCTGCTGCTGAGGGTCACACAGGAACCCACAGTCGTGCAGCCTCTCTTTCTGTCTGCAGTTGTTTTAATTGGTTGAGAAGTAAACACCCAGTCGGACAATATCTGCAGCGCTGTGCCGTCTAATTCCCAGCTCTATAAAAAGAGACCACTTTAGGTGATACCTGACAGAAAGTGACATCCATACAGTAATAAAATGACTGAGCCGGTCAAGAGTCAGCAGAGACCTCATAGTGCATCTCTCTGTGGGACTGTTAAAACCACATGGGGGTCCAAATCTCAACATCCTTAAGATTTAAGGAGTGGTGACACAGGCATGTTATTTTAGACTTGGAAAGACTATTGAAGACATCAGACAGATAAATCATACTTTAAAAAATGAGATATATTAATCTATAAATCAAATTAAAGAATAAATTAAATCAACATTATTTTTCACTACTTCGGCACAATTTATGATTAAATAATACTTCATTTCTCAGAAATCTTTCCTTTCCCCCCCTTTTCTTTAAAAACAAAAGTCCGCTCATGTGGTCATAAACAAAGATCCAGCATCAGCAGCATGAAAGCGTCCACTGAATTAGAAATAATTAGAGACAGAAATGAACAATCCACTCAAAAAAGCCTCCAATGAAATGCTTGAAATCAAAAGATTTTCCGACACTCACCTAACTTTAAGTTGGATTTCTCGCGTCCCGACGCTTCCCTGAGCCACATTTGGAGACGGCTGTGATTGCGCAGACCGCGCCAGGAGACGGTGGAAGGGAAAGTCAAGTGCGCTCAACGCGGAGGAGCTCTCACTGCTGCCGGTTTAAAAACGCCCGACCTTCAGGTGCTCCGAGTCTCTTCGGATGATGGTGAGTCTACCAAATGACTCACTGCTTTCTCTCCTCGAACCACTTCCACCACCCTCACCCCCCACCAACCCTCCTCCCCCCTCCCCGTTCATCCCCACCACCACCCGACCATCCTCTTCCTCACCCTCACCCTCACAGCACCCCCCCACGCCCCCGCCCTACCGTCAGCATCACTCCCTGTGCGTCATCGCAACCAGTCACCCACTTTTCATTCACAAATGTTTTATTAACGAGCGTCACTCACCTAGCACAACTGTCAAACTGCAGGAGAGGACAAAGCACAACTGGGAAAGTTCATGTTATTTTTAATGTCAGTATCCTACAATTACAGTAAAATACCAATAAAATGTCACCTGGAAACTAGAAAACCAGCTTTATTTCACTATAATAAAGGAGCTTTCTAACACATATTCAGTATTGTCACTCAAAAATAATAGCCGTCTCCACAGTTGAAAAAAAAAATCCTCATTAAAAAAATTATCTTGTCAACTGAATTGATGAATAGCTCTACACTAAACTTCAATAAAGTTTGAGTTTGTTATCTGATGGTATTCCACTCTGTTGCAGTATTTTATTACAGTTGTAAAAATTATACAGGCAGCAGCTATTGTATTTTGTTCCCCAGCAAGAACAATAATAACTATATTATATTAAATCCCTTTTCATAAACTTTAAACAATGAAATTCCCCCCTTTTCTCCATTTCAGTAACAATATAACTATAATATTACCCTGTAATTACTAAATAGGTCATCTAAATCAAGGGTTCCTGCCCAATAATGTTACAGAACAACTAAAAAGCTGTACAATGAGCACAAATAGTGAACTCAATTCATATTTTTAAAGGATCTTTTTAAACAATTCTTTGTCTGTATTATGTATTTTTTTATTTTTAAAAATCATACACACTTAAAAGGCTTCTTTTTTTTGACAAATCTAATGGTTTCTTCTGCCCGGCCATTAGCTCTTTTCTTGTATTCTTCTTGTATTCAGGTTTTCATAGTTTAGAGCTTAAATTATA